TCTACAGGAATTTCATGGCGGACAGGAAATCAAGTAAACCCAGTACTTCATCTAAAAAATTGGGAGGGATACTGACAAATAATTAGCATTGCCTAGCCCAAACCACAAGCCAAGCCAATTACTAGCAGTTGAGATAGCAAACCGCTACCAACCACTTGGTAATGTACCTAAACCAACTTATCAATCCTCTTTGGTTAGCCCAGGAATATTCCTTTACCAAGCCCAACAACAAAACCCATGTAGCCCATATATAACCCAACCTATATCTTTAGTAAAGCCTAGCCAAATAATTAACACATACCAATCACAGTTAACTTGCAAAGGTCCAAAAACAGAAAATGTTCCTAAAAAACCAGCTAGTAACGTATTCTTTATTGAACCAGCCCATGCTCATATAAACAACTCATTGACTTAGTCAATGCCTATCTTGAACCAGGATGAATTTTTATCCCTTCTGATCCTGAAAAAAGTTTTACATTTTACTAAGATATCCTGTTCTTCACCTAGTCAATCTTTATCAAACCAATTGCTGATAAAGATGATCCTAGCAAAGTTATTTATCATTCTTTATATATCCAGAAGCTTATCTCCCCCAAAGAATGGGGATCTCACCCTTCTTCACTCCGAGATCTTCGTGGCCATAGCAAAAAATGTAGTTACTATGACTACAAAGAGTCATGATTTAAAATTGTCCTTTATCAAGATGAGTCCTACACTCATTCTTGGTTCATGCAATTTAGCATAGATTTTAAGAGCCAGATTCCTTCTTGATTTTTTTAGTGGTGGCATATTAACGGTCCCATGATTGAAATCTTACTAGCTGATCTTCAAGATCAAGTAACTTACTTTTCATCTACTTTTAAACCTAGCAAATATGAGAGTCATTTTCCAGCATTATTAGTATTTATGAGTAAATATAAAGCCCCATGGATCTGTAAATGGTATTGGGAAGTCATAGCAAATAATGTTGCCTGACAATTCTATGTAAAGTGGTGGCTAAGGTTCCAGCACGATCGTATTATTGCCTAGGTACAAAAAGAGTTTTCAGTCAATGTTACATGAATAAGCACTAGCATGCCAGCTACACCAACCAAACAGGTTATGCCTGCCATCAGGATCTTTTCATCAGAAGTCCAGGCACAACCATCAGCAATACAATTAGCAAAGCAAAAAAAACCCTCTTCTAAGAAATCCAGTAAGCAACAGAAAAAGAAGTCATCTGAGCTGAAAGAATTAACACAGAAACTTCTCCAGCATGCAGCTAGTTAGAGCAGTTTGTCTACATCCTCACAAGCATCAGTCAGCCAATCCATGGATCCCTTCCAAGATGTTCAGGATCCTTATGATGGTTATAACCACTCTACCCCATGATTCATCAACCATGTGTAAAAGCTTCAATCACTACTTTCTTCGTCAAAAGAAAGAAAAGTTGTCTTTTACACATCTCGGTGGAATCATCTAGCAACAAAGCTCCTTTCCACAAGTAAAGTAGTTGACAGTCAATCAACCAGTCTGTTTTTTCCTCGAAAGCAGATTCTCAGCAAAGCAGCGGGGACCCACTCCTGCACAAAGTCAGCATTCACCAGAGTTAAAGTTATTCAGTCCAACTTTTTCACCAAAAAGTAGAAATAAAAAACATCTTACCCAAGTAAAAGCAAGTTACTAGAGTTAAAACAACAACAGTAGTCAAAAGAGAAATCATTTCAAAGATTCTCTAAGAAATCTTACGCCTATATAAGGGTTTCATTTATTCTTAGCAAAGTAAGCTTTTGTTCAAACAAAGTTCTCTCTAGCCAACATATAGATTTTCTCTCCCTCTCTCATATTATATCCTGCCTTCATGCATGATGCAAATGAAGAGCTTCTTCTTAAGCAAATTATTCTAGTATTTTATCCTTTCTATGTAAGTTATTTTATCTATCACAGTCTGACCTAAGCATTACTCTGAAAATGAATACATCTTTGTATCATCTAAAATCACTAAGTGTTGAATATCTTAAGTTACTTAGCTGATCATGGATTCCTGATGCTAAGTTACTAGGTATGCCAACAAAATGTTTGATTATTGTATGAATGGGAGTATTAATCCCATCTAGTTTTGCTCGTCCAATTGTTTCATAAAAAATTGGCATATCTTCATCATCTAATTTAACAGCATACCTGATATTGTCGTGTGATTCTTGACTAAGAAAGTTATTCCACCAGTTTTTTAACATTCTTGTGAATCTAGAAATAACAAGATCAACAATTTCTGGTTCAGTATTGTCAAGATCGTTAACATAACTGTTGATAACCATGGACATATGATTAATTTTGTTAAGTATTTCTTGCTCACTTAATCCATCTATGTTCCATTCATAAAGTTTATTGGATTGAACTGAGAATTGATTGTTAATGTTTTTTTCTTCAAATTGAAGATCATATGGTGTTTGTCTAGAATACCATTTTTTGTGGTACTGATTGGATTAACTTTTGAAAATGTTAGCTTATTAGTTTTTTTATTATTAAATTGTTCTTCTAATTCTCTAATTTCAGAACTAGTAGAACTTTTTGATGTACTTTCTTCTGGAGATTGGTTGTCTCAAGATGTTTTGATAGTGTTTACTTGAGATGGTTATGTTTTGGCTTCCATCTTTTGAATGACTTCTTCAATCTTTTGAAGTCTTTTACTATCTTTTACTGATAATCCTAATTTGTTCCTATCTTCAGGTAATTGAATTAGAGGTTTTTTTAATTTTTTACTTGAAGATAGTCTGATTTCATCAATTTTTATTTCTATTTTATCTAGTTGTTTAACAACTGTTATTAAACACTGGTTAGTAAAATTATTTTGCTCAATTATTCTTTTTTTAGATTCGGTTACTGGTATTTTAAAGGATGAAGTTGTTACTTTAGAATCTTTGTGGCTGATTAATATAGTTTCTGCTGGAGGATGACTTGAAGATACTGTGGAAGCATATCTTGTTTTTCACTTATGTTTTGTTATACTTTTACTGATTTGTAATGGTTTTCTAAGTAATCAAAGAAATAGATTATATATATATACATATTTCACTATAGAATTGACACAATCTGATATCTACTATCTCCCTATTGTATAAGTTTCTGGACAATATAAAAAAGTGTCACGTGAAGTTTCTACTCTATTCAATTGTGCAGATCTGACTGAAACAGTAATCAATAGATTGGGATGTTGTATTTTGGGGACGACACGTTGTTATCTTCTATACTGTGATTCTTTCATAAAAGGGTGTGAATTATCTTAAAGAATGACCTAGTCCGCATCTTACCTCAATCTGTCATTTACTTTATTTTTTGTATCCCATTTTTTCCTACAAACATTAATTCTGTATTGATTGGACAATATGTATACTCCGAGTTCGCACTTGAAGTTGGGCACCAAGGGCACCCTACTTTTGTGTAAAGGAAAGTGCATGGATAGACGTTGGTTCAACCAAACATGCGTAGCCAACAAAGCTCGGGTGTGGGTTCTTTTTTAATAAAATTAGTTTGCTAAATTGGGTCTTTAATTTCTTACCCGATTTTTATTTTTTGCACGTTGGAATTAAAAACTTGCATTGATTTAGATTTAAATTTTTCACAAGATCAGAATTTTAATTGTCTCACAATTGTTCATCAATGGCCTTTTTTGATGCTTTATCGAGTTAGAGTTGACTATTTCTCGATATAAATTCATAAATGACATAACATATTATTACAAATAATAAATTGATCGGATTAGTGTCGAACACAAATAATACAAAATTAACATGTTTTACTAATAGTACAAAAATAAAATGTCAAATATTTATTATTTTGTTATTAAGTATTGACATAATTCTTATACAAAAAAAAAAGCAGATATTTTTACTCCTTTTTGTTACTATATTTATTAAATTGATTTTTAGTTTAATGAAAAAATATGAGCGTATGTTCAATTAAATGATAATACAATTTTAGACTTACATCTTAACGTTAAAATTTTTATTCATCAGTTATATAAATCAACACGAATATAACACAACAAAAAATAAACATATCAGATTAATATGACACAATTAAATGACACGATTGTCGACCTTTGCATTGGATGAGTGGTGATTGTTCTTAATAGATAGGTACGTTGCTTAACTCTTTTAGCTCTACAAGGAAAGACTCTGAAACTAGGAGACTAATAGTCTAATACTCTTCTTGGCTCTCTCCACACGTCTCTCTAGATAGATAAGTCTCGCATATCCTTTTCAACTTCAAAATTTTGTCACTTGTTTCCATCCTTTCAAACTCTTGCATGGTGCCTTTTTATCGTTCTCTATTTGCACTATTTAGCAGTCGTTTTGGTTCAATTTCACTGCCAAGATTTTCTCTAGGGTGACCTTTTATTTCTGATATATATATATATATATATATAAGCTTATCTCGTATACACATAAAAATACATATACAAATAATACGTTCTATCTCTATATTGCTCTAAGAATAAAGAGTAATGCTTAGTAAATGAGAGATTTGCATTGATCATGGGATGGTGGCGGTTGTCGTAGTGAGGATTGGTGGTGGCAGTTATTGTGGTGGTTATTGGTAGTGGCGATGGTGGGAACTTAGTTAAAGTATGGTAAGGAGAGAAGAGTTGGATTGATGGTGTTAATTTAAGGGTTACATGTTTAAATAATGGTGCTAATTTAGCAGTTAGTTGCTTGATTAATGGAGTGTTTATTTCTTAAATTAATTTAAGAGAGGAGAGATGTTCACTAGCTTGATTAATGGATTTTTAATTAGCTTGATTGATGGTTAATCAACTTAATTAATGTCTTTAGTCACTTAAATTAACCTAACAAAATAAAAGATGTTAATAACCATGGTTTAATGCTTAAGTAAATGGGGTGAGTTAGCTTGGTTATTGGATTTGTGTGGGTTTTATATTGGTGGATTATATGGACAATTTTGGAATTTAGTAATATAAATATGTTGATGTTATTAAAATATGACCAAAAACTACCAGTTCACCCTATCAACATGCAGGGCTTAACCTTTGATTGTTGACCATGGAACATGATGTACACAGGAATATACGACGTCTTTGTGAAAGCAATTAGGGTATATGCAAGACCCGAAAAAATCCAAGTTCCGACTTCCACAGTTGCATCGCCTATGACATGTTCCTTATGCTTTGTGTGTTTAACTTCCATAAAGACACCAATTGCATAGAATAGTGCCAGGACAAAGCAGTCAAGAAGAACAATATCAGCATATTCACATTTCTGTATGTCTTCAAACTTCTCGGCATTGACATCTTCTGTGATCTTCTTTGTTGCCTTAATCACTGTTATATCCACCCGATTTTCATCTTCATGATCGTACTCAAGAGCGGATCTACTAGTGGACTTAGGTGGGCTGAAGCCCAGGGTAAAAAAAAAATAAAAAATTACCATTAAGTACCAGCCCAACCCCCCAAAAAAATTCCCACTAGATTTTCCCCTCAAATTAACCCAACCCAACCCATCCAACCCTAACCAAGCAGCTCCCTGCAACACATAGTGGTTCCCAGCGGCTCCCTGCAACACACAGGCAATCTACCTCTCAGGCGGTCACTTCCCAAATTTCAGACAAGCAACGGCTCCATGGCATCACACAGGCGGCGAGTCACTTCCCCAATCTCCTCTTTCTCTCTTCAAAGCATCAGATCCCTCTTTTGCTCAAGGCATCAGATCGCTCTTTGGTTGTTAACTATTGTTTGGGCTGTTAATCAGTTAAGTCTTCTCTAATTCACCTTTCCATTTTCTAGTGGTAAATTGTCTGGACATGGATTTTGTTTAATTATGCAGTTCGTTGCGCATAAAGCACAGAAAAAATTCAATCAGGCTTGTCTTTATTTATTTATTTTTTTGTGTTTGGGGTTAGTGAAGTGGAGCTTTATGTTTTTCAGTTTTCAAATGATGATATGTTTAAGATTCCAAATTTCATTAATTATGTTTTGCTATAATTTTTTTTCCCTGATCAACCAAAAGAAGCACAAGCTTTGAGTAATTGGAAATCAGTGCGTGTACTTTTATGGCTTTGTTTTAGTCTCTACATTTTCTGGACAACCATGGACTTTTATGGCTTTGTTTTAGTCTCTACATTTTCTGGATTACCATAGACTTTTATGGCTTAGTGAACTGATAATCAAAACATTTGAATGTCTGAACAAAATTTATGAACTCTTTAGAAACTGACTAAATAAATTGCTCAAAAATGTCTTTTATACTTAGGTTACAGATCTTTGACTATTTAGTGTAGTGTTGGGTCCTTCAATCTTGTTGATTTGTTTCTCTGATTTTCAGTCCTTCTCTACTTTATTAGGATGAAAAATCAAGAACAAAAAAGAGCAAAAATAATTTTTTCGTTCTTCAAAAAGAAAAGTGGAGAAGAAACATCAAATTCTACTTTTGAACTTTTGAGTCTATTAGAAACATCAACAAGTGTTGATGTTCGTATGATTCCTGCGGCTGTTGAACCTCAAGGTCATCAACCTCAAACAAAAGTTCCAAGGATTCCTTTTAATGAGAATGAACTTGAACGAGATTTTGCATTGCGTATTCTGATATGAAAACATCCTGTTTATAATCAAGATGAAGTTAAACGTGTTTATATAAAGTGGGGACCAAATCAACCTATCTTAGTTGAGTATCCGATGACTAAAAATGGAGTTCAAAATCAAAGATTTCAGGAAAGTTGGTACAAAAAATTTCCATGGCTAGAGTATTTTATTTTAAAAGATGCGGTATTTTGCTTTTCGTGCTTTGTTTTTCAAGGTCGTGAACCTCTACATCCTGCATTTATCGTTGATGGTTTTAGTAGTTGGAAGAGAGTGAATAATGGGGCCAAATGTGTTTTCTTGTCACATATGGGAGGTCTTGCTTCCACACACAATAATGCTGTGAGAAATGTTGAGGTGTTGAAGAATACATCAGTGCACATTGATAAAGTTATGAATGTTCAAAGTTCAGAAGAAATAAAGAGAAATCGATTGCGTCTTAAGGCTACCATTGATAGTGTTCAATGACTTACTTTACAGGGATGTGCCTTGAGAGGTCATGATGAATCTGTAATGTCAAAGAACCGTGGTAATCTAATTAAGATGATTAGTTTGATGGCAAAGTTGAATGTTGAGATAAATGATGTTGTCTTAGAGAAAGCTCCAAGAAATGCAAAATATACGTCTCCTATGATCCAAAAAGATATTTTGCATATTCTAGCTACTAAAGTAAGAGAAAAAATCCGTAAAGAAGTTGGAAATGCCAACTTTTGTACTTTGGTTGATGAAGTAAATGCTGCATCAAATAAAGAACATATGGCAATTGTTCTGAGATTTGTTGATGTTCAGGGTTTTTTGCATGAGAGATTTTTTGAGATTGTGCATGTTAAAGATACCACTTCTTTAACTCCTAAGAAAAAAATATCAAAAGTTCTTACTCGACACAATTTACACATTAGAGATTTACGAGGTCAGGGATATGATGGTACTAGCAACATGCATGGTGCATTTAATGGATTGCAAGCTTTGTTCCGCAATGATTGTAAGTATGCATACTATGTTCATTGTTTTGCTCATCGTTTACAACTTGCATGAGTTACAACTACTGAAGATGAGATTTCAATATGACAATTCTTTTCCAAATTGACATGCATTGTCAATCTTATTAGTGTTTCTCCTAAGCGTCATATCAAACTGTGATCTGCCCAAGCTACTGAGATTGAAAGGGGGATAGCTAGTGGTGAACGAGAGACTGGTAAAGGGGCCAATCAGATGAGTACTTTGCATCGAGCTGGTACTACTTGTTGGAGCTCACATTTTGAATCCATTTGCGGTCTAATAGATATGTATGATGTTATCATTAGTGTGTTTGAATGTATGGTTAACGAAAGATCTTCAAATACAATTCATGGGGAAGCTGGTGGTTCTTTAATGACAATGAAGTCCTTCGATTTCATATTCATATTACATCTTATGCACAAGATTATGGGGATTACGAATATTCTTTGTCGGGCATTGTAGCAAAAATCATTAAATATTTTGAATGCAATGAATTTAGTCTTATCGACAAAATCATTGCTTCAAACCTTGCGAGCAGAAGGTTTTGATTATCTCCTTGACCATATGAAATTAGTTTGCATGAAATTTGATGTCGATATACCTGATATGAGCACTCAGTATAAAGGGGCAAGACGTTCATGTCAACAAAATGATAACATTATAGTTGATCATCACTATCACATGAACATATTTAATGCTACGATTGATCATCAGTTAGAAGAGTTACATAGTAGATTCAATGAAGAGACAATGGAATTGCTTATGCTCAGCTCTGCTTTAGATTCTCGGGACAACTTTAAATCTTTCAATCTTGATCGCATTTGTTTACTTGCTGAGAAGTTTTATGCAGCTGATTTTGATAGACAAGACATGCATCATTTGAAATGTCAACTGAATCATTATCAATTTGATGTGATTCGCCATGAGAGGTTTCAATGTATGTCTATAATTTCAGAATTATGTCGTGGTTTAGTAGAAACAAATAAGACAAAGTCTTACAATTTGATTGATAGGTTGATTTATCTTATTTTAACTCTTATCGTTTCTACGGCAACTGCAGAAAGAGCATTTTCAACCATGAAACATGTCAAAAGTACTCTTCATAACAAGATGAAAGATAAGTATTTGACTGATTTGTTAGTTGTCTACATTGAAAGAGAAATAACAGAAGCAATCGATACAGATTCAATAATAGATGCCTTTTGTTCTAGGAAGGATCGAAGAGTCCAATTTCTTTAATAAGTGTTTATGAGTTTACATTTGTATTATTGAATATATGTTTATAAGTTTATATTTGTATTTTATTAGTCGTATGAATATTTAGTTTAATCCGGGATAAACAAAAATCTTGACTCCGCCCTTGATCGTACTCCCCCTTTTCTCGCTGTATGTTGCTCTTATCCATTGATGAAATCTTCTTGAAGTGAAATTGAACCAGAGCTCTTAGCTTCTTTTAATAGCGTAATTACGCTAAAGCTCCTTAAAGAGAGAGTTATATATGAGAGAGATCAGACACGCCAAGGAGAAGGAAAAGGCAGTATAAACGAAGAGACGTATAGAGAGAGAAGTGTGGAGCGAGACGACAAGTGATTAGTCTTCTAGTATCGCAGTCTTTCCCCAAGAAGAGAAGACCGAATCCTTTGGCTACATATTAAATTTTTTTAATTTGATTTTATATTATATTTAATTGTTAAAAATATTTCATAACCATGCCACACATGCTCTATTTATTTATTAATTAGTATATGTCTGAAAAATCATATCATATCAAAATTATATCATATAATAATTAATATATCATGAGTTATATCGCATAATTTTTTTTTAATTTATTTCGCTTTCACCCGACTCATTTGTTAATCATGTCCTGATAATCCATTCAATTACAAAACATATAACTTAAAAAATACTCAAATCCTGTAATTTCATAACGAATTATATCGTATTTTCACATCTCTACAAATACGCCAATCGTATATACAAATACTATGTTTGTACTAGATTTGAAAATCGGGTCAAGATTTGGGCCCTCATCTGATCCGTTGACGGCCCAAATTAAAAGCATACTCTCAAAACAATCGCCTGAATGGTTACGGGTTGCGACTCTTCGTTTTCGTGAGAGAGAAACCTTCGGGCAAAAAACAATCGGAGCTAAAACACAGTCGGCGAGACGCATAGTACTGCAGATCGAGGACGATGAGAACACTGCGTCACAAAATAACTGAAGAAGAAATGTGTGGATTTCACAGAGATTGATTCAGATTTCATTTGTGTATAACTCTTCTTCTAGTTTGTTACCTTTCTGCTGTTTTAAATGTGTGGATTTCACAGAGATTGATTCAGCTTTCTTGTAGGTATAACTTTTCTTGTTTCTTTCCCTTCTGCTGCTTTTTGTGGGCTGTTTGTTCAATTTTTTTTCATGTGGGTTAATGACATCGCGAAACCCTTCGCTAATCGATGATTAGGCTCCGAGTTTGTCTGCGTTGGACCGATTGTAACGAGTTGTCTCCGATTCGTAGCGGATTCATGTGAAACTCGTGGATCTGCCAGAATGTGTATTGTTATCGGATCGGTGGAGGCCGAGTCCGACGCCCCTTGAACCCTGGAATGAGTCAAGTGAATATGGGTTGGGGTTGTGGAATATGTATATTGCCTTCAACGTGTGGTTTTTTGTATTGGCAGCGAAAAGGGCAAATTCATCTTTGTTTTGATCAAGTAGTAGGTATAAATTCTATACTCGAACTTACTTAGAGATTAGATTTCAACAAATGCATCGTTTTGTGTAAGCAGTTTAACTATGTGGCTGCTATTTGTCATTGAGCCAGAAGGCAAATACATCATTCCTTCTTCCAAAAATGTTACACTCTATCAACCCTTTATTAAATTTTATGAAGCTTACACCTTAGGTTAGGGGCTCAAGTTGAAGATACAAAGACACAGCCTTGGAGAATGAAGTATGTTGGGCTACTTCCCTTGATATCTGGCGCATTCTGAGGCCCTTTTGGAACTTTTGGATATAGTTTTAGTATACTGTCTACATACATGAACTAATCTTGTTTGTGTAGTGTTGAAATTTTGGCAATTGACACTTACACCGGGCACCCACAAAGGAAAAAAAATTTAAAAATTAGCCCCTATTTTTTGCTTGTCAGGACTCAATATTTTCAAAGTTATCACTCTACAATGTTTTGGCTGACAGATGTGAAAAATTAATGATACTAGAGTGGCATCCATGGTTTATGTATGCCTCACAAGCATGCTCAGAGCATTTGAATCACTTACGGACCGTGTTAGATGCCTATCAGCCTATCAATTTCATATAAGAGATCAGTTCAGTTTAGTATGAATAAAAAATACAAATGGAATTTCATTCAACCTGGTAGCAGGCAACTCACAAATTCTATTGTGGAACACATTGAATTCTCGTTCCATAGATTTATGTAGTTAATAAAAATTGTTCTCTATTGTTGTTTTTTTTTTTTTTTTTGTATTCTCCATATCTGTGAATTGCTGTTTCCAATCACAGGTTTGCTATTTTTGCCTTTGCTTTGTATTTATTTTTGGGTACATGTGTTTGCTTGGATTAAAAATTAGTTTGGACAGAATTGTAGTGATTATGGGTTTTATTGTTATTTTGGAATGAAGACAGTTGGAATCTGTGAGGCTTCAACCATGTCTGTTGATCCCACTTTCATCGACGAGGATGCTTCCTCAGGCTCGGGCGAGGATGTGAATTTGTTAGATGGACACAGTAAGCGTCAGTCTACGACACCACGTTCTGGTCGTCGCAAGAGAAGCCGTAAGGCTGCCGGCGATGCTATAGTAGATGCTATGCTAGAAATAGCAGCAGCTTCAAAAATGAGGGCAGCTGCAATTATGAAGAATGAGGAGCAGTTTTCTATAAGCAAGTGCATAAAACTATTGGATGATATGCAAGGTGTTGATCAACGTCTCTACCTTTTTTCTTTGGATTTATTTGAAATTTGCAATGCCCGAGAAACTTTCATATCTCTTAAGAATGAGAGACGATTAGCATGGTTGCAGGGCAAATTTAGCGCTTCTTCTAATTCAGCAGCTCAAGGAACATAAGGGATTTCGTTCTTTTTTAGGGTTCCAGCCTTCCATTTATATTTTGTATGATCGTAGTAGACTTCTTTAGGGCTTTCATTTTGTACACAACTTGACTTGATGATTAACGGTAGTGTTACTCAAGTTTTAATGAATTTATTAGTGGTTTTAGCTCCATCTACTTTAGTATTGCTTGTGCTTGAAACCTGTTAAATGTTTGATTAACTTAGTTTTCTTGAACTGTTGACAGTGTATGTCGTAAATAAGCATGAGGTGTTATACTTCTTGTGTTTAAATTGTATCTACAGATACATCAACCAGCATGGAAGACTTCGACCTAGAATTGGACAGGATGGAATTAGTTGCAGCTGTGGCTGGTTACCACTATTATAATAGTTTAACTAGGCAGCGTTGTCGTAGTATGTCACCTGTAGGACCTGGATTTATGACAAAACTACTGAATGGTGATGACAATTTATGCCGGGAAATGCTTAGGATGGATAAACATGTTTTTCACAAGTTATGTGGCACTCTTCGACAGAGGGCCATGCTACGTGACACAGCTGGTGTGATGATTGAGGAGCAGCTGGCTATTTTCTTGAACATTGTTGGTCACAATGAGCGTAACAGAGTAATCCAAGAACGCTTTCAGCACTCGGGTGAAACAATAAGCAGGCATTTCAATAATGTATTGAAGGCAATTAAGTCATTGTCACGTGAGCTCCTTCAATCACCACCACTAGCTACCTCTCCACAGATCCTCGGAAGTAACAGATTTTACCCGTACTTTAAGGTTGATTCATAAGCACCCGTTCTTGCCATTTTTCTATTGAATTTCATCTAGTAATTCACTTCAGTTCTTTCCATTTAGGATTGCATTGGAGTGATAGATGGCATGCACATCCCTGCACATGTACCAGCCAAAGATCAATCTAGGTTTCGTAATAAAAAAGGTATTCTATCACAAAATGTGTTGGCAGCTTGCACATTTGACCTCCAGTTTATATTCATTTATCCTGGATGGGAAGGCTCAGCTGAGGATTCACGTGTGTTACGAGCTGTCCTTGATGATCCGGATCAGAATTTCCCTCAGATTCCTGAAGGTTGTCTCCAAATTAGCCATTACAGAGCCAGTTGCTTCTTCATTTTGTTTTTGTAATTTCACATATCATACATTTCAAACTAGCCCTGAATTTATTCATAAGGAGTTCTATGTTACAGGAAAATACTATCTTGTTGATCCAGGCTACTCAAATAGGGATGGATTTATTGCTCCATTTCAAGGAGTTCGGTACGACCTCCACGAATACAGGGGTGTCAATCAGTTACCAAGAAATGCAAAGGAGCTGTTTAATCACCGTCACTCCTCTTTAAGAAATGCCATCCAGAAGTCTTTTAATGTGTTAAAAATGCGATTTCCAATTCTCAAGCTTGCTCCTCAATATGCTTTCCACACTCAAAGAGACATTGTTATAGCAGCGTGTGTAATACATAATCACATCCGACGCGAGGAGAGAAATGATTTGCTGTTTAACAGTGTTGAAGGAGGCACAGTTGACGATGGTTTGCCTGATTTGGATGATCAACCTGATATGCTTTTGGCTGCCTCTATACAAGAACAGATTGCATCGTCATTAAGGGACTCGATTACTGCAGCAATGTGGAATGACTTTGTGCATAAGTGGGATGAGTGGTGAGTGGTGAGTGGTAGATGGTAGTTAGCAGCAATGAGGTTCTTGTAAAGGTTCTTTTGATGTTTATTTTTTCTGGCTATTAGTTACTGAGCGGGTAATTGTGTTATGAATTGTTTAATTTTGTGTTTAGCACTGGGACAGGATAGATATGCCTGACAGTTGTGGAAAACTCATAGTACTACTTGGTGGGGAGAATAGTAGATAGCATTTTGGTGACTTAACCTGTATCTGTCGATCTGTTTTGTGCTAGAACTGTAATGACATAGCGTACTGACGTTACTGGGCTCTTGAGTATTGTAATGCTGATTTGTTCTAATACATCACTAGCTATTCAACATTCTTTACCCGCAACAATGGCACCAAGGTTGTGGATATCAACAAGGATAGTCTTCTTGTTCTTGATATTTTGTAAGAGAGAGACAGCGAAGGTTGGTGATCTTGAACTTGACAAGATGGATGAGAGTGCATTGTTTCTGAACTTCGTCCGGATATACAGGTCTACCGGCTACAACCATGAAGCTGGGGTCATTGTGTTAGAAGATCTTCTTTCAAGATGGCAAAGATGAAGCTTGACTCGAATAGGGACTGCTAAGTCCGCTACTTCGGAGCTTTTCTAAAACCAGCAATGCCCCTATTGTGTGCGCCTAAACAATTTAATAATAAAATTTGCTAGATTTATGAAAATATGGACTTTGTGTAATTAAATTAAATAAACACAGGCAAAAAAAATTGTATGCAAGTTTACTATCTATAAAAGAGGTCCAAAAAATTAAAAAAGTCTAATATTACTTATAAAAGAGTTCATAAGAATTTAAAAATCAAATACGTATATAAAATAAAGTTTAAATAACGGTGAATATGAAGATATAATTGTCTTTACAATAATAATTCGGGATAAAACAACAAATCAAAAATTTTCACATAAATAAAATATATATAAAATTTAAAATTTTGAATTATTAAATATAAGTTAATATGTTTCTTCAATTAAACACATGACACTGTCATAATTTCCCTATTAAACTTCACCATAAAACCAATTGCTTCACACCACTCTCACTTTTAATACAACTCTTACTTTATCACTATGTCCATAATCGTATCACCATTGGTATCTTTTTCTTTGGAATCCTCTTTTTGATCGGAAACTTTTGGGTTTCGGTTAGTCACTTTTGCCCTTCTCTCTCTCAAGGTATATATAGTCGAGAGATCTTTCTATGATTCTATCTCCCTTGATAGGGCAGGCTGTTGGGTTTGTGCTCTTCTTTCTCTATTTGCAGTTTCTAATCTCTCTCCATCGTAACTCTATTTTAAGGAGCTTCGCCATTGAAGCAGAGCAGGTAACAACTTTGGTTCAATTATATTACGACTATTTTTTTTTTTGACATGTAAAAGTTTGTATTAAAATTTATATTTTTCCACCACAACATTCATTCGTTATTCTATGATCAAACTAAAGTGCTAACGAGAAAGAATTTCGCACAAGTTGCTTAATCCATTGTTTCTTGCTTTCGAGCTCAAGCTTAGGTTTACGTTACCTACATGAAATCAAAGGGGGTCACGAGTGGGTCACCTATCATCCTAGCACCAAGAGTCAATAATTCTGAAGAAAACACTCCGAATATCTCATTTGTGCCTTTTTTTCTTTATTTCCCACTCAGGTTTTATTTTATATAATGACTTTGAGTTTGATTATTTTAGTTTTCTCATACCTAGTAGTTATTCTTTAGTTTCTTAATGTTTAGGTATTGGTCGAGTGCGAAGCTATGAATCGGGATAAGATAAATTGAGAACAGAAGAACGATGAAGTAGATGAAAATCGGCCACATGTAATAACGATGAAGGAAACTGAGAAGACAGAAGACATAACGGTCAAGGCGCCGGAGAAGCAGAAGTTCCCATGGTTTAAAATCTTTCTGATGGTGACTTTTATGCACTGCTTCTTGTTGCTATTTTCGGCACAAGGCATATATCGTAGGTATTGCAGGGATAGGAGTTGTGTTTCTAATTTTTCTCGGATGTCTGTTGTGGATTTATGCACTGTGCCGAATTATCTACAATTACGTAAAGATCAAGACAGTTTGAATCCTTCATGCATGGAGATTCCAGGATATTTCAAACACCATGTATATGATTTGCTTTTAATTTTTTGTATATGGGTTTTAATTTTTTTATATAGATTGTAGTAATTACCTTCATATATGTATCTGAAAGAGGGTATTGAATCAAACTTATTATATATCTCTATGCAAAATTAGGGGTGGTTCAAGGCAATTTGAGGGCTAAAACGATAACACTAAATGAGTTTTTTTTTTTTTTAAATTTTAATGTTAGTTTAAAAAAAAATTAATTTATTATATGAGAAATTGAGGTAGAAGAAAGACGTGCTAGTGTAGTCGAGAAAAATAGTTTAATATTTTTTTTTTTTTTACATGAGAGAGTTTAATTTTAATTTCTTTTTTTTTTTTTAATATTTTTTACTTATTTTTACATAGAGAGGGTAGGGATAAATATGAATTAGCTTTTGAATATTTTTTATTTTTTTAATTTATGATTTTTAGTGTTTAAAATTTAATAAATTTAAATTTTTTCTGAGTTTGTATACTTAAAATTATGAAACATTTTAAAAATTTGAAGTTTAAAACCTAAGTTTTTTTGGTAATACTGTTGACCCGCCCTTGTGTAAAATTGATTCGAATAAATTGTCATAGTAGGTCGAAGAAAGAAATTGTCATTGGCCTCTCCGATGACTTCTTAGGCTTTAGGTCTAACCTTACAAAATCCAAAAAATTTACAATTAACAAGAATATCCTTAATTAAAACGTTTATTGTGCCGACAATAAATTTCTTACAAAATTACGTACCACTCAATCGATTCAAAAATTGTGGCCTATATTCCTTCATTGTGTGATGTTTAACGACACGTGTCCTTTGTGTCACGTGTCAATGTTTTGTGTGCTCATTACATAGTTTAATCATGTACAATTATTTTATGTCCTTTCACAATTCATTATGTATCCCTTCACAAATTATCTAAAAACACTTTTAGTTACCAAATATGCATAACCAACAAGAAAGACAATGTAAATGAAACCATAACCAAATTCGATCATACGAGTCCTTTCCTTGCAAATTATTGTTTAAAAAGGAGTTCTATACAAGGACTTTCTAGGAGTTATAGATTCTATTATTACTATTGCCCGAACAGGTTTAACTGCAAAGTTTTTATGAAATACGGTGCATTAATACTTATATGATTGTACTCTCCTGCAGCCATCGATTATTGTCATTTGCACCAGTGTCTCGCCTCTACCCTTGCGTTTTCACTGCTATAAAAATTTATTGACAGCATCACAAAAGTGATTTCTATGTTGTCATTAAATTCATTCATAAGATAGAAACAAATATTAAACATGAAATAAAATCATATTTTTCCCCAAGTTTGCACCTCCAAGTTCTACGTTTTAGGTTGGTGCAACCGTGCAAGGGTAGCATTTAGAGCGAGTATTGTCAGTTTGTAAGTACTCAAAACGATAGAGCAATAGTTTTTTTTTTTTTTTTCCGATATGGTTAAGTCGTATGTGGCACTACATCTTTTATTCCAACACTACTCTACGTTTCATATTAATCACGAATCTTACTCAACACAACTGAGTCTTCCAAGACGTTCTATACCAATCTCGAGTTATCTAAGTCATCATTATCATGTTGACCGATATCGTTCTTCAACTGCACAACAAGTACTAAATCTTATCATGTTCAACTTCTTATGTCTAACATGTCACGTGTATCGTCTTATATTATTATGTGATTTTGCAATCAATACATGTCAATGTCCGCCGAGTTGATGATCGCAACTTGAACCTTCTATATGTTAAATAAAAATTTATATATTGTGTATATTTTTTTACAATATGTCAATACGAAATACGGCCTTCAAATAATAGAGTGACAACTTAAATAAAATAACGTAAAACATGAACACTAGATGAGATAAAGAACAATAATTAATATGAACTAAGACAATTAACACCTTCAATAACGGTATATGGTTAATAGCAGTAAAATGTTCATGAACATAAAGAACAATAGTTAAGTTGGTAGAAATATAACTTGTGGTTATAACTAAATAAAGTAGAATACGAGTATATCTATATAAATAGGAAAGCCAACAAGTAATTTAAATCTTGATAAAACAAAATGTATATAATAAATAAACATAAGCTATAAGATTAAAAAAAAAAAAAATTGACCTGCGACTCTGAAAGGCATGTGATTACTAAAAACAGCTAAGCCTCCTACGTAAAGGTATTGACGAATACCAACAGTTTCAAGATTCAACTTAAACGCTCGCAATAGTACCTCCTTAATAGTCACCTCCAAGGTATTGGCGTGTAATCACTCTTTTGAAAATGAATTTTTTCAAGAGAGTGGTCTCACATGATCATATTCAACTTGTATTGCCTTTATTTTTCTGAGGCCCGCCTTTTCTCAATGCATGACTGAGAAGTTAAAATTAGCCCAAAATATAATAGTAATCTCTAAACTACATGTTTTGTGTCACTTTGGTTCTTAATCTTTTATTTTTCATTACTCCCAAATTATCTATTTTTTCACATTACATCTTAAAGTATTAATTTGAATTTTACATTGCCTTAATGGTTGACATTTGTTTAATTTTTTATGGTAAATTAGGACAACAAATAAAACCTGCCTAATCAAGGAGAAAAAGCCATATTTCCTAACATTGTAAATCCCATTTTTATTTTGATTTACTGTAAAAAAAAATTGGAAAAAATTTAATAATGGGACAATTGGAAACTTAAATGTTTAAAATACAATGTAAAAAATAGTTATCGAGATAACTCAAATGGTAGTAGAGACGAGCTGTAAACTTAGACGTCGTTCGAAACTTAGCAATCACTTGGGGTCAAATTCTTTTGACCAAATCAAAGAGAGAATTAGTTGATGTGTGCATGAGTTGACTTAGACTGTTGAATCAAAAATTAACAAAAAAAGAGTAATTTACGTGAACTTAAATAATAGACTTAATAATCTCAACTATTGAATAGTTAGTGTATTCCAATAATTGCTGAGACCCACAATAAAATCAATTATTGTAATTATCAAGTTTAAGTTTACTTTTTTAAATGAACGTGGCATTACTTAAAAATAAAAAAAAACATAGTTGCCAAAGTATAATTGTAATTTCTCTAAATTTTAACCAATATTTCCTTTGATAAGCAAGCCGGCCCAATATTCGATTTAGTTTGCATTTATGTATGCACAGTCACACACTTGTACACTGCAGCTTGGAGCCTTGGCCCCTCTCTAGTTTTGT